TCCAGAAACAAAACTCATGTCTGAAATAGCTCACATACTTACAATGTTTCCACTAAAATTCTTCTGCCTCTTAGTGCCTTCTCACCTGTGTTATTGATGGTGTTTTAAGCTGATTTGAATCTTGACAGAAACCATAAAGCAGCTATTCCTCCATGCTTATTCCCATGTGTGGAATGAGCAGGTGCAGCGCTGAGCAGGACTACAAAACCAAGTGAAAATAGACCTCTTGTTAAACAAAATTTAAAATTCCAAAGGAGAAGGAAGCTAAATATTAGTGCCCTTTTATCTGAAGCAAAAATCTGGAGTATATTGGCTCCTCAGCTGAAAACAGCTCAAACTCTCATTTCCAATGTGAGTCATCAACCATCAACCCACAACTGATCAGGCTTGAGAGAAAACTGTTCCTCCAGCATCTGCTGGATGTAAAGGCCTGTCACACAGAACTGAGGTGCTTGCAAAGTGCCTGCTTTTGGCAGCAATCCCCAAAGCCAGGCAATCCATTTTCAGGAGCTTTACACCACGTTAAAGTGTTGCACAACTCACTTCTCAAATGTAACTGCACTAAGCCAAAAAATGCTGGGGTTTGGGTTTTTGTCTTGCATAATTATAAATTTCTCAATACGAGACAGAACCTACCCTTCTTCTTTACTACAGCTGAAATCTAGCATTTTCAGAGAGCCATAAGAGCTCTTGAGATACCTCAGTATCACCAGTTAAAACCCAGTCTTTTGGAGGAACAAGAAAGAAATAGAAAGCAGGGTATATTTTCTTAGCTAAGAAGAGAGAATGAAAACACAAATGCAAAGCTTTTACAGTTTGATCTTAATTTTGTATCACATTTTTTTAGAAAGGTGAATGCTAGAAGATCCAAAAGTAAATTTATTTTTTTTTTCATTTTATTGGGTAATCATCCATTGCATTTTCCCTTATGTGTGAGATAATTTTACCAATCCCTGAGGTGTTGTTTCAGACAAGCAGCAGCAGGAAGGGTTGTCTATAGATTGACACCTGTAAAAAACCAAAAAAAAATTCAGTAGTGAGGGTGAATATTGCAGCTGTAGAGGACAGGGATTACAGCTGGTGTGGGGTGTGTGTCTGTGCTGTGGTTACAGCCATGAGCAGGATGGGGTGCAGGCGTGTTTTGGGAAAGACCAAGAGTAGCAGCTCTCCTTGGGTCACCCTGCCATTCTGAGGTGACCAGCTGAAGCCTGGCCTGGAGCTCAGAGACCTGAAGCAGAGTGTGCTTGCTGTTTTGGGGACAATGAGCAAGCTCAAAGAGATTTGCTTCCTTGTACCCACAATTTGTACTCACAAGTGCCACGTGGGCAGCAAGGCAAAGGCTCTGTCTTTAGAAGGGCTCTGTTTCTCTGAAAGCTCTCTGTGAGTAATACTCAGAGAGCCATAAGATGCCTCAGGAGGGGTTCTTAAGAGAGCTGTGTGCTCTGACTCATGTGGAGGCCACCCAAACTCACACTCCACAGAGCAAAGCGTGGAAGTTTCTCAACCTTCAAGCCTCAAAGTCATCTGCTTCCCTTTCACCAGAAGGAAAGATAGCACAGGAGCAGATACTGAAGGATGGGGCTGACTTTCTGCCGCCAGCTGCTTTAGAAGAAAATGGGAATTAAGTCAGGGAAGGTCTGTGCCAAGTCCCTTCTGGGCTTGCTCTATTCTGTGGTGGTTTGTATCTGCCTGTGGGAGCTGTTTCTCTACTGTGGGTGATGACAGGGGATGTTTGCTGGGTCCACAGTTCCTATTCCCAATGTTCTGGTCTAGTTTGGGTGTGGAAACACCCACAAAAAGTACCATTGGCACAAATGGAACTGCATAAAGGTGATATTATTCACCAGAGATGCATGGAATCTGCATGGAAACTTGGTTTGGGTGCATATTTGCCAAAAGATCAATTTCTAACTCCCCAAAGAGCAGAGGCATTATCAAGAGGAAAGATTTCTTCTTTGAGCAACCTGGTCTAGTGGAAGGTCCCTGCCCATGGTAGGGATCTTTAAGGTAAAACTACTCTTCTACCTAACTTGAACTCATATCTGACATCTCTTTATGACTTTCTTAACTGCTTGGGCTGGCACATCCCCCTGGTTTTTTGAGGGTAGTCAGCAGCCATCACCACCATCAAAGAAAAGGGAAAAAATGGAACTGAAATAATTTTTCTCAACATCTGGATTCTAGTCCCTGCTGTGACAGATACTTAAGTATTTCATAGGGAGACAAGAGCTGTAGTTGCAGAAAAATAAATGGCAGAGTTAAATGCTAGTCTGAGGCTCAGGGCAGATTTAGAATGCAAGCTGAAGGTCCACTGACAGATTAAACAGAGAGCAGCTGTGAGCACTGGTATTGCAGGCACACCTGGCATGCTGGCTGCTGCATGTATCCAGGTTCTGCTTTCTTATCTTGTTTATGTTTGCAAGGGGAAATACTTGTGTAGGTACCCAGCTCCAGAAGCAGCCACAGCTGCTCAGTTACCACCCTGCAGAAAGGGAGCTCCTGTACCCTCTCCAAGCCCATCCATCTGCACAGTGCAGGGAGAAGGGTGCCCAGGTCTTGTGCCTTGAAAAAGGATCTTCCACCTCTCCCTTGGGAGCATAGAGCTCATCAAGACTTCTCAGCATCACACACCACAATACTACAGCCCAGGCATCTTGGATGATTCAACTCTTTCTTGAAAGATCTGTTTGAGTAGAGAGAACACAGAACTAAAATTGAAGATGAAATTAAATTCAGTTTGCCGGTGTAAGGAGCATCTTTTAGCATGCTCCTGGTAATTTAGGCAGTCAAATATTCTGCTTCAGATTTGATGCAAACACTATTGGCAGCCTCATGCTTCCCTTCAGGCACTGCTAAGCCTTGTGGTAAAATTTCTCTGGGCAGCAGTAAATTAGGAGAATCTGAAGTCAAGCCACCTAGACAGCTCAGATGCCAGATAAAACCTCTGGCTACATTTAGCTGTGTCTTGTTCCAAACTTCACATCCATTCATTTTTTATATCAGAAATGGCTAGCCAGTCTTCTTGTTGAGGAATCCACTGAAAACTGCATTTTCTTCCAGGCAGTGTAACCTGAGCAGCTACTCAGGAAAACCTGCAATCCTACCTTCCCTTTGCAGCTACCTTCCCCTTATCTTTACATCCTCAGTAACACCATCATCAACTCAGGTCTCTCTTCAGTGACTAAATCAGCACAAGAGAAGGTGTTCAGCACTTCTGGCTGTAATCCCTGTTCAAACAGCTGGTCCCAATTCCCTTCCAGGGAAAACCAACCTATCTGATGTGTCAGTTCCCCCACCAATTTGCTTTGTCAGATAACAGGCAGACCTGCAAGCTCCCAGCCTCCCCTAGGCTGCCAACCTGCAGTCAGCCATTTCCAAATACATGCAAAAAATAACCCTTAACTGCAAAAAAAAAGTCACAAAAAGTGCTGAATCTGGTAATATAAACTGGGAAAATATCCAGACATTTGCACATATGCATGCACGCTTTAGCAATGGAATGAATCATACATTGCATAGCATGAAAAATTAATAGGAGTAAAATATGATCTGGTTGAAAAACACTGAAAATCAAATAAAATTTTTCAGACCAGATACGGTTCTCACTAAGACCTTTTAGAAATACTGTCTGTTTCTCAAACATAGACAGTGCTATTCTATGCTACCTTCAAAGATGCTTTTGGAGATTTTTTAATAATTTACTGACCACAGTAACAGCATCTTTCTTTCTTGGAGTGCTTACAGTTTAAAGTGAAAGCCTTCAGAAGAAATAGGAGGAGAAAAGAGACATACAATGACCATTCATTTTTTATTTTCTGTGCTAAAGCTGGAACAGCCTTCTTTTGCTTATTTCTTTTTCAATCATACTGTATTTTTCTGAGATTTTTGCATTACATTAAAATGTATTGTACAGCTTGCATTTCCAGAACAAAGATACTGCTCTCTCTTTTCTTGGAATTCTGGAAGAATGACTATATATTTAGATGGAGTAGTTCACACTCTTAGTGACACGTTCTTTTCTTAGCTATTTTTGCCTATTTTCTGCAAAGTAGGAGCATTACCAAATGTTGTCCACATATTATATGGACACTTTTCCAGACCCAGACCACCAGCAGGACTTCCCTCACTTCCCTTAGCTTCAGGCACTTCTGTCACACCAAATTACATGGTTTTGAAGGAGATGTGGAAGGACTTAGGCAGTGAGATTGCTACAGCAGCAAAAACATCTCCCATGGATCCATCTTATGCTGGCAAAAGAGCCCTTTAGCCAGCCCAGGTTACCACAGAGGGCTAAGCTTCTTCTAGGAGTTCTGGCAACATCACTGCTGGGTAAGGCGTTTGTGGCACAGCCCCTAATCCTGTTACCACTGGAGTGGAGAGAATGTCCCAGAATGTGGGACACAGAAATTACCATGTCAAGTAAAGACTCCAGTTTCTGTCTCTTCAAATGATTAATTTAAAATGCTAATAAGGAAGATCTAAGATAATGTCTCTTCTAGCTATTTTTCCCTCCCTCCCTCCCAGTACATCCATGGGACATAGCAGCAGTCTCATGCCCCAGCTAGTTGTGTTTCTCTCATGAGCTCACTCCAGCTTATTCCTACTCTCAGTGAGATTACCTAGCAGTGAGATTCATATATTAAGCATAAATTACACAAAGCAGCAGTTTATTGCCAGTACTTGGATGTCCTGCCTCCCAATTTTATTGAATATATCCTTTGTTATAAGACACAATTCATAGCAACATCTGGCTCACCTTTCTGCCTTCAACTTTCTCTGCAATTCACACATAAATCCCTAAATAAGTGCTTTCTTTGGGATTTTTTAACATGTTTTCCCTACAGATATAACACAAATCATAGAAGGTAAAGGTGACAAAACCCTAGAAGGTTGTCTGAAGCAGTCTGTGATGGAGAATTGTCCCTCATTGTAGGTCTTTGTTCAAGAGTAATTTTAAATGCTTCAAGCAATAAAAAGCTAAACAATTTAATCTATAAGCAGTTCTGATTTGGACTCAAGTTTGCTTCATTTCATCCACTATTTCAGCCATTCTATAGCCAAGACTACCATTTACAAAATCTTCTTTAATATTTATATATTTAAATATATGCACGGTAGCATCTAAGATGAGTTTCTTTAAACATGCTGCTGAATTTGGATTCATTCCAGCACTTCTCATACACTAACTATGTACAGAGCAGAACTCTTCAGGGAATCAAGGAAAATTGCCATTTAAATAACAAAAATCATATATGTATTTTCAATCAGGCTAGTTTAAAATATCACTGTTGCTTCCAGGAGCTGTGTCAGAGAGCAGAGGCTGGCACCCATTTCCACTTTTTCTTTGAAGTCTGAAATGAGATCTTGTTTTCTACAGAGTATTCTAATTTCTATGTAGCTGTATAAGAACAAGTAAATATCTTGGATTTTTGAGGCGCTGAATGACATTCAAGACTTCTGAATTAAAAAAAAAAAAAACCAAAGTAATACAAAAGGTTTCCAGATAGCATAAGTAAGATTGAATGCAGTTTACTCATCTGTAAGAAGTTTATTTCAGAAAGTTTTTTCATGTTTCTATTGGATTCAAATAGTTTGGTTATAAAGCTATATAAAGAGCAAACCTGAATCACTTGAGGCAGTGTTTTCACTGGGCAATAAATAATGCCTAATGACAGATCATTGGTATTTTGAGAAATCAAAGGTATCTTTGACAAATCAAAGTTAATTTGATATCTGCACTGTTCAGATAGCATTTACCTAATTTTTACATTGCTGATACTACTTCTGCTAAAACTACTAGAAAACCAGTAGATATTGGTCTCTCAATGAAGACCAACAGTTACAAAGGTACATAAACGTGTGACAAGAAGTGATGTATTTTTTACATACTCAGTGACTTTGAAATTGTGTTTTAGGTGCAGTGGCATGAAAACTAATTCACTTATGTGCACTGAGCTACCTATTCACTTACCTACATTTCTGTGCAAAAATACTGAAATATCTCATTAGAGAGATTTCTATTGCTTTATCATCGTTGACTTTATGCTCCCTCCAGATCTTTCCATTTGGGTGATTTGATTTGCTCAGATAACCTACTGTCTTTTTAATAGGTTTAGGTAAATAGATCTTCCACAAATCTGTCCAAAACCCTGCCAAGGAAAGTACATTGCTAATACGCAGAGCAATGTCCTTTACAAAAGAAGAAACAACATGAAAGACATGTTAATCTTTGCCTTGTAACCCAAATACCTTCTTTGATAAAAGCTATTACAGTGATTTGCCAGAGAGAGTTGTCTGAGCACGTGAATTTGTTCAGACTGGTTATATTTGCTTTCCTTTAGAAATGTGACAGATCATGTTGAGCAAGACATTTGCATCTAATCTGCCCAGAGGTACTATTAATGACATGTTCTAAAACCCAGAAATACAATAGTCTCTTGTAGCATTGTTGACAGGAAGGTGTCAAAACTAGTCACACAAAATTACCTACCTTTTCTTAAGTAAGAATTTTTTTCCAGACTATTGCTACTAGTTTTAGGTACATCAATATGTTTTCTATAACAATCTTACAAATCTCTATTTTACTTCCTGTAAAACTAAAATAAGCTGTACAATGTTGAAAGAAAGACAAAGGCTGGGACATTCTTAAGAAGACTATTTGTTTCTCTGCTGCACCTCCTGGAAAAAGTTCTACTCTCAAATTACCCATGAAGGCAAACCAGGCACAGAATTTTTGTGGTGCTAATTAAGATAGATGGAAACAAGGTTGTCAGCTGGTACAAGTCCTCACTGTATTATTTCAGCACCCTCATAAGGAGGTAGATTTAATTTCAGACTGGCTCATCTGCTCAGCATGCGGTCTGCTCATCCCAGCCGGGTGTGAGAGGTTGCCAGTTGGGTCAATGAAGCAGTAAGCTGTGTTGGGTGGGAATGTTGATCTTCTGGAGGGTGGGAAGGCTCTGCAGAAGGATCTGGACAGGCTGAATGGATGGGTTGAGGCCAATGGTGTGAGGTCCAGCAAGGCGCAGGCAGCGTTTCAGCCTTGGGGCAGAGTGGCTGGAAAGCTGCCCTGTGGAAAAGGACCTAGACCAGGTGACAGTCAGTGGAATGCAAGGTAACAGTGTGCCCAGGTGGCCAAGAAGGCCAATGGCATCCTGGCCTATATCAGTGATAGTGTGGCCAGCAGGAGCAGGGCTGTGATCATCCCCCAGTACTCGGCACTGGTGAGGCCACACCTGGAATCCTGTGTTCGGTTTTGGTCCCTCACTACAAGAACAACGCTGAGGGGCTGGAGCAGGTCCAGAGAAGGGAACAGAGCTGGGGAAGGGTCTGGAGCACAAGTCCTGTGAGGAGCAGCTGAGGGAGCTGGGGGTGTTGAGCCTGGAGAAAAGGAGGCTCAGGGGAGACCTTAGCCCTCGCTAAAACTGCCTGACAGGAAGGTGTAGCCAGGTGGGGATCAGCCTCCTCTCCCAGGCAACCAGTGACAGGACAATAGGAAATGGCCTCGAGTTGTGCCAGGGGAGGTTTAGATTAGGTGTTTTTGGAAAAATTTCTTCACTGGAGAGGTTGTTAAGCTCTGGAACATCTGACCAGAGAAGTGATTTTATCACTATCCCTGGAGGTATTTAAAAGATGTGTGGATGTGGCACTAGACATGGTCTGGTGGTGGAGCTGGCAGAGCTGATGGACTTGATGCCCTAAAGGTCTTTTCCAACCTAAAAATTCTGTGATTATTTTCTTTTATTCTGCTCTTTCTTCTTAATATTCTACAATCCCTGTTCCTCCATCTAACTGTTCTAAGCATTCAGTACCTAATTTCCATTTCAATGCATCTGAGAATAGGTTTGTCTACAGTATTTTAATATAAAAGGAATGTACACGGTGTTTTATTTTGTTCTGGACATGTAAGATTTGTTTATGTAATTTAAGCATGAAAGCAAAAAACTTTGCACGCTCATTCCTACAAGTCACTCAAACCCGTTACAGTATTTTTTCCAAAGCAGTCTGTTAAATCTAACCACAAAACCATTAAGCACAGGAGCAGGTCTGTTTCAAATTAATGCAGCAGGTGGGCACATCACAGACAAACAGCAGAGTGGCATTTCCTAAAAGGGAGCATCATTGTTATGAAATAATAACAGAGCTACTGTATAACTCAAGGAGATAAAAATGGAAGCAGATTTTTGCACAGGTTCTACATCTAGAAATCGAGTCACCTCCTGTGACAGAAGCCATCATTAGGCTGGTAAGGTAATTGTCTGAAATTCAGAATATGCCTTTCTTTATGGGTTGTAGCCACGACACTTTCCTAAAAGCTAGTTTCATTTCCTCAGTGCTGTGAAGCATGAGAAACCTTTCTTTTACCATGAATCATCAGTTTCTTTTGAGCAAATATTTTTTTTTGTTTACTTTTAGTCTTGGGGGTTTTGTTGGTTTTTTCTCCAAGAAAACATGAATGCAGAGGCAGAGGTTTATAGCCTAAGGTGCTGAAAGAACCTCTCGTTACCACATGTTCACACAAAATCTGTCCACTTTGAACCAATCTGAGGACCAAAATCAAGAACAGAAGAAACACAAGGAAGGGGCTTGGGAGTGCCAGGAACTTGTCTCTGCCCAGATCACAACCCAGTCCCAGTAAAGGAATGGAGAGACCAGGGCTAGACCTTCCAGTGTGCAAATAAGGTTCTTTATAAGGCAAATCAGTTAATGGTGTCTGCAGTCCAGGCTGGTGTGGAGATATCTGGCATTCAAATGCACTCACAGCCCACGGCAGCTCCTGCCCTGCAGAGAGGCTCAGCATCACTCTGTGTCTCTCTCCTCAGCCTGGCTGCATTTTCTCAGTGCTGAAATTAATTCATCAAGCACAGTAGGACACTGTTGGGAGGAAGAGAGGAAGAACCTGGCTGACCTCAGGTTGTGGCAAGGCATGCAGGAAGCCACTGCCCAGAGCCAGAGTCTGGGAAGAGAGTGCCATGTCCAGCTGGGGGAAGGATTGTGTAGGTCATAGCTTAGCTCCCAACTCAGTCAAAAACAGACACAAATTTGCTAAATCTGCCAGCTTAGCAGCTCCATTGACTAAGACCTCAAAACACAATATCCCTGTAACCCACTTCTTCCTGCCACCCTGCATGCCTGGACTTCGTTACTGGACCTCTAGGTTCTTCTGTAGGCTTTTTTTATAGGAACTTGGGGCCTAGTTTAGAGAAATCTCAGTTGGCTCACCTTCACTTAAACATTTCCTTCTTTAAGTGTAAAACATTGAGATATTCAGTTGAGGAAACATAGTGAAAACAAAGAAGCATCTTTATCAGAGTGAAAACTACAGTCATTGCAGATGGATTTACTGTGATACTTGCTAATTCTCATAAATCTTAATTCCCTTCCTAAAGAGTTCTGGTTTGGGCAGTTTCCAGCAATAAGGCCTGTATTGTTATCTAGACCACAATCTAGAGATTTGGGGTATTTTCAGTATACATGATGTTGTGTACTTTGAGAATCTTTGCACATGACAAAATTTTTACAAGTTTATTGGAGTTTTTTTAAATCATATTCTCTCTGTGACCCTGAGTTAATGTCTTTTTCATATGTTCTTTTCTGGTTTTTAGGAGACCCTGAAAGCTTTTGACCGGGAAGTAAATGCATTTGTGGACTATATGTTTGGACCTCGAGGTAAGCTGATCTACCTACAGCCCTTTAAGGAAATAATACTTCTAGAGATTTCCACCCAAAAAACTTCTAATAAATTTGCTGAGTAACTTCTTATTGAAAAATGTAAACGAGGCAGAATCACAGTATTATCAGGAAGACACCATTATTGCAGCAAATCTATCAATGCAATGATTTGTGATTCCTTTGATTCTGAGAGTATCAGAGAAATGCAATTTTACATCCTAACGTGGAATAAAAAACCTGAAAGTCTGGACCTTTCTGAAAGTGGAAGATCTGGTTTGGAACTGATTGTCATTCATAACCCAGTTTGTTTGGTCCAGCTACTTATTAAATTGCCTAATTCAGAAGGATGCTTGGAGCAAAAGCAACCTGCAGGATCACATCCAAAATCTCAATAAACTAGTAGATTGAGTGGGAGAACAGACGCATCTTTTGACTTCCTATTATTACTTTCTGGAACAGTTTGGACAAGAGTAACTTAAATAATTGGAGGTTGAAGGTGCCTCATGCTTTGCTAGGATTGAAACAAGTAAAAAGAAAATCCTAACCTTAAACAGGACTGCAGGCAAAGCATCAAAGTCAGGGCTAAGAGAGCCAAGCAAATAAAAGAAAGGGATGAGACAGGAGCTTACACAGGACACAGTCTTCAGAGTAGGTCCCTGCAAGGCCACCTTGCTGGTGATAGAGCTGGGTTTAATTTCAGGAATTGCCTTGAAAACTTTTACCCGTGGTTAAATCCAGAGGTGTTGCTTGTGGGGATGGATGCATGATTATGAATTCCCAAATTGCTGGAGTAATGCTCGCCATGTCACAGGAACAGTTCTTGCTTAATTGTAAGGAAAAGGGAAAGATGTGCTCTTAAACACAATAAATTCTAGGGTTTTTTAGCTGGCTAGTGGCTACAAAATCTTTTCCATCATGTCTACAGTAGATGTGAAGTTTGAAAGAAAGATTTCCAGTGAAGAAACACTGAACAGCTTGGGAACTGCAGCAGAAGTGGTTAAAGCAGAATAGGTTTTGTTAATGGGTTCTACGATAGCACATTTTAATATTAACAAAGAAATGTGACCAGAAGAATAAAAGCACTATTTTTTGGTGTTTGGGTGTTTTGTTTTAATGTGGTTTTGGTTTTTTTTCCAAATGGACATGATGTTCTCTTTCATTCCTCCTTCCTTGTTGGTCCAGACAAATTATCTGAAGGAGTAAGCTATAGTTGATCCAGTTCTGAATAGCACAGAGATCCCTTTGGGCTTTTAGAAAGCCCTTCAATTAAACACATATTATTTGTATTGCTTGCCAAGTACATCACCATCCTTCACCAGACATCAGTGCTGAAGATAGCTTTGTTTGTCCACGCCTCTGCACTATGATCTTTAATTTAACTGGTGGTATAATGACACAGTATCATACATTTCCTGAATAGCACATCTCCCTGCAGTGTGTTCATCCACATAAATAATTCACATAAATAATTCACATAAATAATTCACAATAAACTGCAATCAGTTTTAAATTGAATGACCCCACAGATGAATATATAATGCATTTGAGAACTTGCCCAAACATCTAAACCCACAAACCATTCTTCTTCTTTCTCTCTACTGATTTTCATCCACAGTACACACTTAATTCAGCATCAAGATGAATTAAAAGGATGGATAACAGTACTCTATTATTTTAAAAAACAATCCCCTATTTATTGTTTATATTTTAGGTAGTAACTCCTGAAATACTTGTATCACTATGCAGGTCTTTGTCATCTTTACCAGGAGTGTGTGAGGGCACTAGAAGAGACAGAAAGCCATGCTCTAGTTCCCAGAGGCAAACTCTGTCACACTGGGAACACCAGGTTAACACAAGTACTGCCCAACTAGAATGAGGGACAGACTATCAGAGATCTGAATTTGATTTGTAAATATCAGCGTATTTTGTACCTTCATTCACTGGTATCAGCTGGGCTTTGTAGATAACTTTACCTCCGTGTTTGCTTTGGAACTAGCAAAACAAGTCCTTTGGATCAGGGAACAGCAGCCATATACCTGCCCATTGCTTTGATCTCTTAATAAGGGGTGGTCTTACAATTTGGTGTTGGTCCATATTGTTCTTATGCTCAAGGCAAATTGAGAACGAGTGAAATAGCAATTTTCTTCTGTAAGAGATAATTTTTCCAGGGTAACCCTTCATCTGCAGAGTATTGTTTGGTGTTATGCCAAATTAAGTAATATTGAATTGCAGGAGCTAAATCTAGTTAACTGGTTGTTTGTTTTATCTGTGAAAGAAAGAGATGTGGTCAAGAAGAGATATATTTTGTTAAAGTTATGATAAAGAAAAAAAGCACTTCTCCTTAATAGACTATGATCAGTAGCAAAGCACTGGGGCAAACCATCTACACTCTGCACCTTTAAAAGGCCTGAAACTAAGATACTGACTGGTCAAAGCTATACAGAAACTTGAATCAAAATGTTTCTAAACCTCATTGATAAAAGCCTGATACGTTTAAAGAGCCTGGGAGGCCTGCCACTCATTTAAAAGGAGCCAGGATTTCACCCCAAGGGTTTGGCACATCATGGCCAGTGACCTGAATGAGCTTATTCACGGAGCGATCAGAGCTCGTGGGCGCCTGCTCCTCCCCCCTGCTGTAGTCCAGTGCTTTCCCACTGTGACTTTATTCACTGCTTTGGTCTCAATTTCAGATGCTGGGCAAGTTCAATACTGTAAAAATAATCCTTTCTCCTATTGACAGTGTAACTTTATAGTACTTGAACACGGAGATTTGACTGTCGGTCAACAGAAATACTTTTCATCTCTCATTCTTCTGATAACTTCTTTTGAAATACATTCCCTTTCCTCCCCCTTCTTGACACATAAAAACCTCCCTCTGCTTGTCATTCAGGGATAAGTGGAAGTGGAAACAAAGCAGTCACGTTCCTTGGCTGGCCTTTATAAACCACTTTCTGCCAGAAACTGTCTTACTATTCAAGGTATTGAGGTCGTGGTGGGAAATATTCAGGAAGGGTACATGTTTTAACAATTTCTCTTGAAACTGGAATACTATAGAACTTAAAAATACTTGACATGCTGACCTGAACAAGCACACGAGTTCTACTTTTGTGTGGATCTGCCCACATGCTTGTGGCCACTCACAGCAGAATGAAAACTTTCTGAGGGGCAGAATTTATTCTGTGTAGTTTGATTTGTATTCTGAACTCTTCTGAATGTTTTTCCTCTTTGAGCAAACATGCAGTTTCGTTACCTACTGATGCCAATTTGCCTTTGTGCATGTAACCTTTATGCACCAAGTGTTGCAGTCCTCAGATGGGAGACCTTTCCTTCCATAGCAGTCTTGCTGACATGACTGCTTTCTACATCTTCATTTAGGATACCAATTAAATAAATTAAATCCTTATGCTCCTAAAACACACTCCTAAGACATCAACACTTAAACACTCAACCTTTATCTGTCCTATGACTCCTGTGTCATGTTGAGAGCCCATAAGGGAGCAGAATCACTTTTAAAATATTCATTCCAGTGCTTCACAAATGACTTGTGAGCTTTAAGAGATTATTAGAAGTGTTTCCTTCTCCTTCTCTGATCCTAATAAACGTTGAGATCTGAAGGCAGACAACAGGCATTCTGGCTTGGTAATACACAACAAAGCAAGGCTGCCATAAAAGGAAGGATTGTGCTGTTGTGACTGCTTTAATCCTACACCTCTCTGCTCCTAGAGGTTTTTGGGAGTCCAAAAGGAAGAGCCAAAAGCAGGAGAGAACTGGACTTCCATGGCAGTGGTGGCCAGGTTGAAAGTCTTTCCTGCAAAAGGGCTAACAGCCCTCATGGAATCCAAATTCAACAGATGATTGTTAAAGCCACTGAGATGGAAGCAAGGGGGGAACAGAGGAAAAATGTGATGAGAAAGAACGCTGGTGTTCAAAGCCTGGATCATATGCAGGTTACTCTAACATTTGTAAAATTCCACTTTACATATACCTGCATGCATGTATTTCTGAGGAAGGAATTGTTGGAAATAATACAGTACAGCAAAATTACAATCAATTACTAAATGTTTGGGCACATTTACTTAGTGCATCATCCATTGCCCAGTCTTTTCCAATTTCAACACAGGCAGAAAAACAGTAAAATGCTTTTTTCATGAACTGTGAATAGCTTTTCTTTTACAATTTTTAACACAACCTTGGCCTTTGTAAAAAAAAATAATCTAAGTAATTTAAAACATTTTCCAAGATCAAAAACATCTTTCTAAGAGCGGAAAGAACTGTTTTCTGTGAGACCTGTACAATGACTCCTCACTGACTTCTTTCTTCACTTACTCCATAAGTCATTCTAAAAACTAGCTGTGATGCCCCCTTGTTCCTTCCATAGGTAAATGGCTGAAGAATATTGCTGTGGAAAATTGACTCTAGATTTTGCTCCATCTTGGAAAAAGAAAAAAGAAAAGAAAAGAAAGCACATCCCTTTCACTCATGACATCCAGTTGCTCATATGAAAACAAAGTGGTGCCTCTAGCTTGGCATCTGGGATTAGGCTTTGCTCATATACACTGAACTATCTGATTACTGCCAATGGGATTACTTGTGTGAATAAGGCAAGCAGGATTTGACCTTAATATTTCATTTTAGGACCAGGCAAGTGGGACAGAAACTGTGAGAAAGCAAGCCCTTGTCCAGCCAAAAATCTTTGATTACCATCAAAGTAAATGTTTGCCACTTGCTTTTCATATTTAATATTTTGGAAAAATCTTCCCCTTGTATGAACGTTTTGTATGGCAAGTGCAGAATTAAAATAACATGTGAGCTGGCAACATTACAGCATACTTTGTATTTAATACTATCTGCAAATTGTCTGCTGAGGAGATTAAGATAGGATTTAAATAAATATTAAATCAAAACATTAAACAAATTTTTTTAAAGCATATAAGAATGGAGTTTTCCCTTTCATTTTCTCTTTACTATTAAAATTGGTTATTTATGTGACCTTAAATTATTAGGGAATTCTATGCAGTTTTAAGCCCACATTCTCTGAGACTTAGCATGCAGTTTGGGTAAGTTGAAAGCAATGGATAGCTCTTGTGGGGAAAGAATGGCTGATTCTTTTCATGATGTGTTCTGCCTTATTTTAGCAATGCTTTACCATAGCTTTCTTAATTGCCTGCTCCATGTGTTTCCTTTTTTAGATGCCAGGGTTAGAGGATGGTTCCTTTTGGACTCTTACCTTCCCACATTTTTCCTTACCGGAGCATATCTACTCTGCATATGGCTGGGCAACAAGTTCATGAAGAACAGACCTCCTTTCTCTCTCAGGCCTCACCTCATCGTGTACAACCTGGGCATCACACTGCTCTCCTTCTACATGCTCATAGAGGTAAGTGCTCCTCCATGCAGCAGGGCTGAGGAAGGTGAGAAGGATACAGCTTTCAGCAGAAATATCTTAGTGGCAGGTGGTTTTTGCTAGGAAAGTTTAAATCAACAGCAAAATGAACTAAGTATTAAAAAATCCCTTCTCATCCTAGATCTTGGCATGTTTTATCATCCTTCCTGAGCTACAGTGCACATCAAGGACAGCTCTTTGCTGCCAGGACCATGTCCACAAGATTAAATTTGGATCTACAGCAGCCACTCAGCTCAAACATGCCTATACCTTGTCCTTCAGCACCCATGAAAATGCCATAGATTGGGTTTTATTCCTATGACCATCTGTTCAATGATTTTTCCAGGCCCATGCTTAAACATGAATAGATTTATAGATGAGAGAAAGTACTAATTTATTTATTTTATTGGCATTATTTTTCTGCTCTTGGGACTAAGAAGCTTTTCTCATACATTCAGACAGTAAAAGACAGATGTTAAAAACTTACCACTTCATCCAAAAGCAAGGGCTGCAGGGCTTGGAGGCTGAATATGGTCACACAGATTATTTCCCAAGTACTTATCAGAACAGAACATGCTCATATAATTCAGGATCTCTTTAGAACCAGAAGAGGGGTTTGAATGCATCTGATGATTTTGCAACAGCAGAGGATTCAAACAGTGCCCCTCAACAGCCATGTGTGGTTTTTTCCTCTGCAGAGGGAAACAGAAGCCAGAAGTCACAATTTGGATATTATTTGGGAGCTGCCCATTCTCAGCCTTTTGACAGCTGTGGTACTTTTAATATTAAGGTGTTAACATACATTACTTGAAGCCCTTAAAAACAAACACTAGAAGACAAAACCCACAAACCCTTTTTTTTCTTTTTTTCCTGAAGAGTGACCCTGGGCATGATAAGCCCTGGCTGATAAATGTGCTTGATTCCATGGTGTGGTTGACATTGCTCTGTTGCCTGCACAGTCTCACAGCATTTCTCACTCCTGGGGCTCTTGGCCACAGTTTCCACCTTATTCTGTTAGTTGGACAAGAAACTTTTCAGAAGCCAAACAGGACACCCAAAGACTTCAAGTTTTAAATTAATTTGAACTAAACCAAGTGACTGGCCTGGTCAAATGGCTGAGGAGCAGTTTAGGTTTGTGCCTTTGTGCAAAGGACTGATTGTGCTACACAGAGCTTTATCCTGGTCAATGCTCCAGCTGGCTTCAGTGGCTGCTCTGGGGGCCTGGGAGTGCAGGATAAGGTTTAAAGCAAAGGAGAAACCAGCACAATTGCTGGAAGGTTTGATGACTCCACAATGATTGTATTCCAGAATTCAGATTAGTACTTTGATGTTTAAATCTCCGTTTTGCTTGGAGGTATGCAGATAACCGGCTGCGGTAGCAGGACTCAGCAAAAAGGATTAACTGAATAGAAAACAATATTGCTGCCCCCTTTCCTTTCCAGTCTGATTTGGGCTGCCACAAGTAAATAAATGGAAGAACAAAGAAAATTTTAGCAGGTCTCATTGGCATGAATGAAGCAAATTTTGTTTTAGCCACCTTTATATCCTGGTAGGAACTGTATTTAGCCACCTCCTGTTCAGCTGCCTTCCTGTTCCACCCTTCCTGAGGCTAACTTTGCTGCAGACAGTCACTGAGTTGTGTTAGTCCTCAGATTAGTCGCTTGAGAGCCTGATTCTAAGGCTGGAGGCTGCTGATTTACACCTCCCAGATTGCAGCTGGGCATGGCTGGCAGTGCCAGCTCACAGCTCCACATTCTGCAGATTTGGAAACCCAGGGAACATGATGGCTGATCTCTACTGCCAGCTGTTCTACTGCAGATTTCACTCTCAGCTCTGGACTGTCAGCCAGGCTGGTTTTACACTGTACAAAACACACTTCCACAATACTGGCTGAATATTTTCTCTTAGTCTACTTCCCTGGCTCCTATCACAGCTTCTCCTGTGAAGGAGCAGAATGGAAGTTAATACTTGCAGTCCTGCCTGAGGAAGCCTGCACATCCCTGCTAAAGAAAAGTAGGCAAATGGGAGAGCAGAAATCATCCTCAGTACCAAATAGTGTCATGGTGATTCAATATTTCAAAATGTTTAATTTCCAAAGCTTCTCTCTATGCCCCTTATTCTCTCAGTCTTTTGTGGACCGTAAGCTCTTTAAGGCAAGAGTTACCTATATTTAGCATATTCTGCACAGTGGTTCCTTATGTAAACACAGCTGATCCTTCCAGTGACTGTGATCCAGGATCAGTTCCTGGTTAGACACATCTACAACAGTTGTTTTATTCCTCCGTCCTCTAGCTGCATCTAAATCCCTTTGGTGTCTCTATTGGGGATAAATCACAAAATAAGAATCTCTACAATAGAGGAAAAACACATTCCCCACACCCCACCAAAAGAAACCCTCATAACCAACCATCTTTCTTTGTTTTGTTTATAAGGTGCCACACAGCATTTCTTGCAATAGCTCCAGAATGTAAGAGTTGCTTCTTAGGCATTCAAAAGGAAAAAATACCTTATTCACAAGAAAGGTTGTATCTCCAAATACAGCCTCTCCTACATGATGGATTTAATGAGAAACATGGTAAACCTACTGATGGAGATACCTGTGCTTCAATTCTTCATCTCCTCACCCTCATCTCCTGACTAGTTATAGCTGGCCCTTCATGACAGTTGATTTGTGCAACCTCAAGGCAAGAAGACGAAGGTTACAGCAGAGAGTCATAACAAAAGGGCTGTTTTTAAATCTCCAAGGGCAGATCCCTCTTTTGAGCCGTAGCCCCCCATGCACTGCACCGTGGGCATGAAGTATCTGGGAGCCGATTTTATCTCTGAGCTTTGAGGTCAGCCAATCTGCAAAGCACTCGGAGGAACAGCTCCAGGACAACTCTAAGATGTGCCATTAGCATAAGGTCAGATACCCCTACGATCTCCAAGGACGAGGTCTAAAGATAAGGGCTCTGCCCAGCTGCCATCATCCCACTGAGATGTCTCAAAATTTTTGAGTCAACAAAGAATTACATGCCTCTGAAGGCCTCCCAGAAGGGCAGCTTGCTGGGCCTTTATTTAGAGTTCTGAGTTAGGCAAATGGATTTTCCTGAAGTTGTCAAAGATGCGTACCTTCCCCAGTTGAATATGATAGAGAAGTTGGCACTTGGGTTTGGAGCATGTTTTTTTCAAGTACCTGAATCTTAGACAAAGGTCCTGTGCTTAAACTGGGCAGGCTGCAAGTGGGCTACTGAGGAGGCAAAAGACAATTCTTTTCACCATTGCTGCTACTAAAGAAACCAAAATTTGTTACTGTTGCATACTTTTCTGTACCAGTAAGTGCTCATAGACCTAGATCAACTCTACTGATCCAACAATTTCTAGAATATTGTCAAATTCTGTATAAGGAAAAACAGCCAGCATCTTTTTACTTTAACAAAAATAAAAACTTTTAACAATTTCCCTTAAGAAATATATGCCTTTTCTCTGCAGAAATCTTTGCTTCAGGTGCTAAAATTACCAACTATGAGCAGTAAACCAGCTTACTGGTTTACTTTGTGAAAAAACACCACATCTGTGCATATTTTAAAATTGTTTCATGTGCTTACAAACCACACTTCAGGGATGCAGCCTGAGGCACCAGAGGCCAAAGTGTCACAAGTTCAGTGATAAATTAAAACTGGAAACACAGGAGACCAGTGCTGATCTCTGAATTCTGAAATTACCCAGGTGAGGATACTCTCTCACTAATAGGAATAGACATAATCTCTGCTACAATCCTAGGCTGCTTTCCCCAGCAATAAGTATCACCTCTGCCCTATTTAAATCAAATCTCAGCTGGTCATCAAGGTCTCACCCAAGTCCTTCTGTTGATCAGGCACTGAGAAAACCAGGACACCATTTGGGCCAGATTAAAAAGGAGATCTAGAGATATGTGTCATTAGCAGAGGGGTGGCGTGATGTCTCAAGCTGCCTGTATCCCCAGGTAGCTTCTCAGACTTATTACAAATCCATGGGATTTGTAAGCAAGCAACCACATCCATGTGGGGAGGCAGGACTTGCATGTGAGGACCCCTCGTCTCAGAGCAAAGGGAAAAGAGCAGAACTCATAAGTATTGCCAGCCCAGTGCATTAACCTTTCTAGAGGAGCTAGAAAAAAGTCTTCTACCTTATAGGATTAAATAAAATAAAAAGCAGTGAATCAACTGCACTTTGGCTGTTTCTAGGAGCTGAAAATCCATCCCACATTAAGTCCAGTTTCTGAATTATAGCCCTAACTTGCATGTTCATAGATGCCAAGGTGGTGTGAGGATTCCCAGGAGTGCCAGAAGAATCAGGGCTATCAGCCACCACTTTTAGCCCTACCCACTGAAACTGAGATTATATCTCATGTGTTACTAGAAAGTATAATTCCTGAATTAAGCACAATGGGGCAAAACAAAAGGAACAAATCAAAAATAGAAGGAGCACTTAAACTCTGTTTTTATTCCATCATTATAATGTCGCACATCAGAAGGATTTCCTTCTTATCTGTGTACGTGTTAAAATGGTGGAGCTTGTGTAGCACAAGTTCTAAATCAACCTTTAACAGTGCAGATGATGGGGAAAGGTGAAAAAGATCCTAACCACTTGAAGCTGTCCTGGAATTTTACTGTGGAAATCCAACTTCAATATAATCTTGCTTTTGGTGTTTGTATTGTTTTGATTTTTTTAAAATAAGATTGTGATAAATTATTGTTTAATAATCCTTCTTTAATTGGTCAGAAGTTAACAAATGTAAATTAAGTACAGAAACAGGGAAAGATTCTAGATCCATCAATACTGGCGCTTGAGGTGAAAGTTTCCTTGGAAGCAATTACTTAGTACTGAAAGACTATTTGTACCTTAGGGCAGCAAAAGAAACCAGAAGAGATCAGGTGCATTTCTCTATCATTTGAAGAAAAGGAGAAGTGGAAAAAAGAAAAACCTAGAGAGCAAAAGGTCACTGAGAATGCATTGTAAAGCAGTGAAATGTA